ACGCTGATCATTTTATTAAAGATGAAAGACTTTAGACAGTTTTTCAACTCTCAGTAATGCCATAGTGATCGTTTGATATATGGACCTGCAGCGGAGTTTAGGCCCAGACACGGCTAGTGACGTCAGACTTAACGACCGGATAGCTCACAGAAAGCAAAACAGCAGCTAATAAAGGCTAACAATGGCTAACAGATGCTAACAGCACGAAAACAGCATCTAATAAACACTAAAAATAGCTAACAGATGCTAACAGTACCTCACAGGACAAAAACAGCAGCTAATAAAGGCTAACAATAGCTAACAGATGCTAACAGCACGAAAACAGCATCTAATAAAGGCTAAAAATAGCTAACTGATGCTAATAGTAGCTCACAGCAGCAAAAACAGTAGCGCTTAATGACACATGCACATACCCTCAACAGCTCACATCAGTATGGCAGTCAGAAATGCGCTTGTCTGTCTCATCAAATCCTATCGGACTCCTTTCACAAAGTTTTAAAGCCTCTTCCAGAGTAAGTAAAGCAGGACATTTACAGCTGAGGTAAGCAGCAGAGCCTTTGGCAGACAGGGAAAATCTCTGGGGCGGATCCGGCTCGTTATGGTGTGTAGCCTAAGTTTAATCTCTATTGGCTGACAGCCCCTCCAAATTATTCACTGAACAGGAGGGATAAGAAAACAAAACTCGGCACACTTCAACCAACTAACATGTAACAGAGAAATGTTTACACGCTGTAACTTTAAGACTGATGTGAGAACAGTGTTGAGACACATAAACACACAGTGAAACAAAGTTTGGAGACTCTGGAAGACCCTCAGGAACCCTGACGGTGTCACCTACACTGTGTTTGTACTTCTGCCAGTGCTGTATTGTATTGTACTGTATACAGTATACAGTAGTAGCACACAAAGAGTGCAACTGTGTCAAATGCATGAAAGATGACAGAGAAACATAGCGGTAAAAATCCCAGCACCCTCGGACCAGAAGCCATAAAGTTCCTTTAATGGGATACGTGGAGTCCCTTTGTGCTGCCGTGCGATGGCCTCACAGGTTTAAAGAGGCAGGCGTACAGTGACGTGACCAGCTTGGCTCAGGTTAGAAAGCACACACAAAAGGACCCAGTCGAGTGTGGACCGTGCTGCTGATTGTGACTTTACCGGGGGAGGCCTGGTTTGTATTACACATGTCCTTAAGACAATAAAGTCAACTCTTTGTCCTGCGCAGCGATATGATGGCCCGCGTCCCACTCGGCTCCTCGTTGGGTGATTGCCGTGAGCGTTCAGTGTGACTTTGTGTGTGTTTTCCTTTCCACTGTGTCTGACTTTGTAACTATATCTGTTCTTACCTTCCCAGGGAAATAAATAAAAGCTCTCCTGCTACTCCCACTACATAAAGGGGAGGCAGGGCTCACATAATCGTTTGAGACCGGGACAAACTGGGCCCATTGATATCTGTGTATTTATTACGCCTATGGCAATATAAGGCAGAGCAGAGTGAGATATCAGCTTACCTTGAGCGCTGCGAGACAGAGAGCGAGTTTAAGATAAAGGATATTTAATATCCAGTGCACACCGGCAGGGGCCTAAGCCTCTAATAGCACTTGGGGTTTCTGAGCAGGTAATGCCTTCATCTTTGTCTAAACACACTTTTATGGACTTTAACTGTAATGATATAAAGAGAGAGGGGGTCACAGATAAATGTAGCGTAATGGCTCAAAGCTGAAGATTAGCCATGTATCATGTCTGGGGGGATAATGCTTCAAGGCAGTTCTTCCAAAAGGTGTTATCTGCAGCCGAAGAAAGCCGAGAGAGAGGAAGACGCGCGCGCATGCACGCGCTCAGACACGTATATTAAATAATGACCTCCTTCTCCTCCTCCTCCCGTCTTCTTTCCTGCTTTTCTTTTAACAGCGCTTTGCATTTTGTCACATTGCGTTAGAATCAGTGGCGGGGACATTTGCACCGTAATGAAGCCAACCTACATCGCTGGTGACAAACATTACCGGGGTGATGCACCTCCTGTGTTCTAGGACACATTACCTTTGCTTATTTGGTGTCTAAATGATAATGAGAATTCGTGTGATAACCTATATCATTTACATCTGAACGTGAATCTTAAAAAAAGGAAAAGGTGTGCTGCCTTTATTCTGCAGATCAATCAGGTGGCCCGCACATCCATTAGGGAGGAGGAAGAATCCAACAACGGTTAACTGGGAGCGTGAGTGAGTGAGTGAGAGAGGGGAAACAATAGTGTTGTTGTCCTAATTATGCACCCAGGCGATGCATTATTTACCAAACCAGCATACATCGGCAGGCCTGGATATGAGTAAAATAATTTATGATATCTTCCTCTCCTGCCTTTTCTTCCTCTGTGTGTCCTCCACACTCCACCCCACCCCTCTTTAAATCAAACTTCAATAAAATCTGCCACCTCTTTTCATTTCGCATGACGCCACCCTGAAAGCCATCCAGGACAGCCGGGATCTGTTTTTCAAAAAATAAAAAAGTCTTCCCGTAGCGCAGGGTCAAAACAACAAAACAGCAGCGGGGAAAAGGCGGAGGCTCATATCGCTCCATAACTCACCCCGGGCCTCTGCCGCAGCCTTAAAGACAGCGGCGCACTGGAGGATTCAAGGTTTGATTCTCAGCGTTTGTATGTGTGGCCCGGCAGCCAACACACATGCATCTTCTTCCAGTATGCATGTGCCACCTCTGGCTAATGACAGATGCAATAAAACATTTGTAAAGGATGGAACCATCCATCATGTGGTGTGGAGCGCAGGAACGAGACTAAAAGCACAGAGAAGAGTCCCCGGCTCAGGGCAGGGAGCGACCGAGGGGGGATAACTAAATTTATATCATATTACACACTGAAATGTGACCTCGTAACGACATCAGTGAAATTCAATCAAGTCCTTGACTCAGTATTACTTAAGGTAAACCAGTGTCCTTCCTGATGCGAAATGAGAAAATTTAATCTGGTCTTGTTGTTTTTTTACTACTGATTCGAGTTTGGATGCAGTTTGTGTGATGGAAGCCAAACGTGCAAAAGGATTTTAACAGAGTAAACACAGAGGATTTGCTGCTCAGCAGCACTATTTACTGGGAGAAGCAGCAGTGATGATATGAAGAGAAACAAAAGCACTTCTGAACACTCCGCAGTCTCCCAGGCTGAAAACAGACAGAGCCAACAGCTGCAGTTCCTCTGACGTCCAGCAGAGGCAGCAGTGAGTCAGTCTCGTGTCAAAATGTTACAGCAGAAATAACCATGTTTACAGCCTGACACACAAACTGTTTGGTCTCTCTGGATAATTTCCCCCTTCACATTAATAGGGGGCGTGGCCTCTTTGACTGACATGCGGACAGCGACACAGACGGCTGTAGCTGCTAGCTGTCTGCTAGCTTCACCTGAACCGGACTTCTGGACCGTGTTTGTACTGTTGGAGTATTTTAATGACATCATGTGACCAATAATATGGTTGCTGTGAGGTCACTGTACAAACAGGCCATCCAATATATATTTTAATGTTCCTGAGAGTTGATTAGCAGGTATCTGTGATGCTCCCATACAGTCTGTGGATGCTGCTGTACAACCAAGCTAGCTAGGATTAGCTGACAGCTTAGCACTCTACCCGCTCTCTAACATGGCAGCAGCAGCCCCAATGCTAACAGAGGCTTTAAAATGCAGAAAACTGTTAACATTAATGAAATAAAGACATCAAATGCATTTAAGTCTGTGTCCATCAGGTGCTCCATGGTGGAGGCGGAGGGTCAACAGTGGCATTAGACATTTAACCCTAACCTGAGTGGTTTGAGGTAAGGTACCTTTGGCTCTCTCTAATTTGCCAAAGGTGTTGTATGGCATGTATGGCCCAAATGACCCTCCGTTTATACAGGCTTGGAGCCAGGCTTGTATCTCCTCTTGGTCTTGAGTGGGGGGTCTTGCGTATATTGAAGACTAGAGCACAGATATCGGAGTACTGTAAAGGACCTTAATAAACCTCGAAAAACTTGCTAGGTCTTAGCTGGTGTTGTGTTCAACTGACCCCACTTATGCTAGCTAAGAAGTCTTTTCAGGCCCTTCTTCCGGCTCCACAAATAAAAATCGCTAACGCTGAGGCTCCAAAACGCGTCCGCTAACCGACGGGCGGCTTTACGGCAGAAACACCCACGAGCATGAGGAGGATTAATGGAGGCAGAAGCAGTAAAACCATTAAAAGGCTTGCATTAGCGCTACTCGCCATCAGTGTCAGCGAGACTGATGCTAGAAACGGAAAAATGATTTTAATTACCAATTAATTAACAGCATGAGCCTTCCTACACGTTATCAGATATATCATCGGCGCACAGGTAAGGCGCGTTTAAACGGGACTGTCAATAAGAAACACCGCCGTCAATTACGAGCGACGAGACGACGAGAAGAAAGGAAAAAGTTGTGACAATTTTGCTCTGATCAAAGCAACTGTAGCCACGGGAGACACGGATTAACAGCCATTTAATGATGAAGTAAAGTTTGTGTTGTGTTGCACTTGTTTGGTGTTTGTTTGTCTATCCCATCCAGCTCTGAACAAGACAAGCTGGCAGGGAGGATTTCTTTTTTTCCTCTCCCGCTTTTCCTTTTTTTTCCACTGCTTACAAACTCGTGGGTGTGTTTGATGGAAGGCACGAAGGCATGCAGGCACACCGCTGCCTGTTGAATCACATCATCAGCATCAACAATAAAAAAAAAAAAAGGAAAATGGCAGGCAAATATAAATGAATATTCCTCACCTGTCTGCTCATGTTGACTCCTCTTGTTTGGATTTCACAGTGGGGGAAAAAAATAAAGGCGTATATTTACTTTTAATTGAAAGGAAATTAAAGACGCATCCACATCCGCATGTGACAAAGGAAGATCACAAGGCTCGGGAGTGATGATAGCTTTTGTTTAAGATGGATTTCATAAAGAAAACCCCCCACTGATAATGATGAAAAAAAAATCTTGGACATTTCTCCAAATACAATTACCTCGGCATCACCTGATTCAATCAGAAGCATTTGCATTCTGTTTGCATGCAGTGTTCCGTGAACCGGTAAACAAGGCAGGCAGAATAAATCTGATGTGTTTTCATGCTTATGGTTGCTCCTCTGTTTGCTACATTTTATTCCGAGTATTTGAATTTTTATGAATTGGTAAATAACTGCGCAAACATACGCATCGCTGTGTGGATGGATGTTCTAAAGATGCAGGGGCATATTTTTGCAAGCCAAAAAAGACAAACTGAGAATGTAAGTTCATGTTTTGAGACAGATGTTGTTTGGCCAGCGAGCACGGCAGATTAATATTTGACTGTGTCTGATGTGTGCTTAAGAATGTATCAAAGGAGATGCATCATTTTGGGGCCCTGCAGAGGATGTTGCAGCTGGCACGGTGACAGAAAACATAAGGCCACACTTGGCAGCAGTCAGTCACGCTCGCAGCCTGGATGGTGGGACAGGAATGCAGCGATTACACCGAGGTCGCTTCTAATCCGCGACCTTCTTCTCTCCCCGGACACTTGGAAGTTAAGTCTGCGAGGACGTTTCTCGCGCCGCTCGTCAGCTTTCCACCTTTAAAAGGCATGACCTAATCATTAATCGGACGGTGGCTGCATCGCTGATTTGAAGTGATATTTGGTATCCCCGCAGACGCAGATACCTCTTCATAAGTAACGTCCTAGAAGTTCCCGTCGT